CCCGCCGACAGGGTTTTGCGTTCTGGGGCGCGACTACAACAACAATACGTTGCGTGGCGGGGGGTTAAGAAGATCAAAACGCTGTCGTTTCGGCAACATATTTACTTCTGCCTTTCAGGTATATTCTGGTCCCGACACGTACGGACGCCCCTGATCTTTCTTCAACTAACGAAGAGGACCTGTGAGCTCTGCAGTTTGGACTTCCGTGGCGACTAGCTGTGGGCTCTTCACCGGTCTGAGACGGTGCGCCCCACAGTTCACAACAAACTCAGTCAGGTGGAGGAGGCAGCTGTCGTCGCTCCTCTCACGACCAATATTTTGGGATAAAAAAACAGGGTCGATTCCATTCTCCCTCAATATAGCTAAAAAAAAATACCCACAAGAACTTATTCAAAATGTTATTTTAAGACATTTTACCTATAGGACAGAATGCATGCAGACACATATTCTGATGCTTGTAAAGGGGACAATGGTGCCAGCCAAAAAAGCAGGGAGAATGAGATTCTGATGATTGTAAACGGGATTAATTAGGTTCAATCTCTATCCAATGCATCATGTTTCATTTCCAGAAACGGCTGTTCCCTTCCCGCTATATTTTTTCCCTTACAAATTACAATGTAAAGAAGCAATAAGAAAAACATCCACAGAATAATTTATTGTCAAGCATGAAATTTCTTTACAGTATATATTTACTCATATTACTCTCAAGGTTTACATTAAAAGATCTCTCTCTCTCTCTCTAAAAAACAGAGCAGAACAAATAAAAAACAGAGGAAACACAAAACACAAGCATAAATTACAGATCATGGGGAGGTTTGTTGTCCAATATGACTGATTGTTTGCTTCTTAGTTCTTACGATTTTCAACATTTTTATCATACTTAATTTGTTACTCAAAATATAATACAAAATTAATCACTGTATAATAAATTAGTAAGACATAGTAATACACACTTTGTTTGCTGGATCCGAATCCCAGTAATCAACCCTTTGCCGCCCGCCACTGATCTTTGTCTATACGCTTGTCTCCACATATGTAACGTCGTGGCGAGCCAATATATG